GGAATACACATCAGCCTTTTAGTCAGACAGCTAGAGTCGCTAGAGCTTGGAATATTCCGGAGCTGTGGTTTCTGTTTGACCGGAAGCTGCATCACAAATCCAGCCTTAAAAACTCTTCAAGCATCTATAGATTGGTAGCTCGGCTCTATCTTTGTTTTTCCTTATATAGTGGCCCCCAAGTAGATAGACGAAACCGTTTCCAAAACATTTTTAGTGGGGATCTACTTTTCTATTTGGGGGGTCTATATCAATAATTGGTTTCTTTTGATGTGCCTCCAGTCTCATCGGTTGACTGAGATGCTTACGATGCAGCCAATCAAAGGACGCCGCTTGGAAGAGTTGGTCAAGGAACTTGTTGAGTCAAGGACATGGGAGCAGATGTTGGTCCCACAGACGCCCTGTCTTCCTACGCCATGTCTTCCTTGGTTCGGTCTGACTCCGCGCCTCACAGTTCCCACCCCTCCGCGCCTCCGTGCGTCGCGCGCGGCGATGGCTTCGAGGTTAGGACCGATCCCCACCCACCAGCGGTGTCCTGGACCGACTCGGACGGAGTCGCACCGACACCGGGTCACCCCCGATCGAGGCAAGCATGGCGGCGGCCTGCGCTTAGGCGAGATGGAGGTCTCTGGCATCATAGGCCATGGAGCCTCTCAATTGCTTCAGGCGGGTCGGTTTGGACGAGTTTCTGAGACAAGTTCGAGTTCCGCGTCGCGGCGCAGGTCGGTTTTGGGAGGGCACAGGTCCATTTGTTCTTTTTTTTCTTTTTTTCCGTGGCCAGTGTGGCTGAAGATGGTTCCTCTCTTTTCGGGAGGGTACTGGGCAAAATTCCAAAGCAGCTGGGTCTTGGTTTTGACATCAAGCTCTGGCAAAGCTGGAGGTGATGTACATCCAGAGAAAGAGAACTAGGTTCTGGGTTTCCTGGAATAGAAAACCCGAGGGACAACAACTCATCTGGCCTTCTATTACCGTTGACACCAGGCCTCGTAGCACCGTCGCATGGACCGTCTGCGTGCGACGTCCCACGCCGTGGACCGTCCCCGGAGACACGTGGAGAGTTGGAGACTTCGAGCATGTGAAAGAGGGAGACCTCCCAGTTGGAGCCCCTGGGAGGAGTACACAGAATGGAAGACGAATGGTTGGAATCTCTCCCTCATCCGGTGAAGCGGTCTCGGAGGGATGGCCCTCAACCTCGCAGAGTCAGTCTGTATTGGACGCGTGGGGACGGTGATTCCGCGCTGATACGTCTCTTCGTTGCCTGAAGTCTTCTAGTATGTTGTGACATCAAGCCATCAGCCACATGTGTGTCACAGCCAAACTCATGTAGCAGGACCCAGAAACATCACAAGGTCTGCACAACTTTCATCAGAAACCGCCGCAGGAACTTTTAACCTTGAAGTCAGATGATGTGTTTGGACGCAACGAGACCTACGAGAAGCTCAAGCAAGGCCTGACCTAGGTGGTTGGTTCTCGGGATTTGGGCGCAAAGTCGCCAAGCGAAGCTTTCGGGTTTTTGAGCGGTTTCTAAAGCATTCTAACCTTGGATCAAGAAACATGCTGCCTTACAACATGTTTCAATGTCAAGATCTGGGAGATATATTCAATTGAGCAACATTATGTTTATTCCTGCAGAGATCGGACTTTGAATTTGTTTCGATCTTTTGAGGAGGACCGTGCATTACTCTTCTCACATATTGTTGCTAGTGTTTCGGCTAGGCTATTTATATGTAGAGCCAATCTGGGCATGGAAACAGAATGACAGGTCAGTTCAGACAATTATGGACCAGTGGACTTTCTGCTGACCGATTGATCTTCTCCCGCAATCCAGAGCAGGCGCAAAACCTGGTCCGGGACCTCCAAAAACAACGGCCCCCTCGACCGCCGACCCAGTTCCCAATGTTTTTTGAACGTCGTTCGACTTGCGCAGGTGAAGAGGTGGTCCTGCCCAAGGGAGCGACGTCAGAGGGGTGGCTCGGCTTCGGGGTGCAGTTGTGACGTGTGACTGCTTGAGGAATTCGGTGAAGATCGCTTGAACTACAAGTGGTTCCCCTTTTTAGAAAGACACCGTTTCTCAAAAAACACATGTTATATAAGGATTTCTGAGGGGATTGAATTCTCTGTATGCAGGGTCACTCTAACAGTCTGCGAGGAAATTGACCAAGAAAATGTTTCTACTCATAGCGAGTGCGGACCTAACGCTGGACATGGCCGCAGGAATTTGTAGATTGTGTCCCCAACCGTAGCTCATACCTCAAATGTAGTAATTCGTCCTAGGCTGCTGGGGTTACCCCACCCAAATCCAAATTTCAGCTGACCAGCCAAACCCCCTTTCAATTTTCCACCATGTCCCAAAGACCAATACTCAACAATCCATGGACATTGGCCAATGCTTGGCCAGGGCACAAGGGTAGCACATATTCTAGCATACATGCTAGCACACAAACCGCTTGGGAGGACAAATCCGCGAGCTGGGCCAAACGTGGAACCATCCTTCTGGCGCATGTCTAGCTTTCTGCATCTTTCCATTGAGAGGTGCCTGAGGTGCCGAATGTGACATGATGAAAACCTGATCCACACTCATCTGTCTGAACCTTCCCACCTCCCTGGCCTTCTTCTCAAAAAACTGTGCTTGAGGGATATCCCCTCAACACTTGCAAAAACATCGTCATAGTTTTTTGTCTCTCTTTTCAAGGGATACGGGATACTCCAAAAATCGACCCTTCTTTGATCTCTCTCTCTCTCTCTCTGACATGCTTCCAAGGTATCGGACCTTCCGCCGCGAGCTGGCAGCCAGTGGACTGGCCATCATTGAGGGCAGCTGGGATGACTGATGTAGGGCTGCTGGGATTGTTTCATTCTCAGAGGTGCCTTGAGTGATGGACTTGGAGGGAGGGGATGTCGGACTAGTGACTTGGATGTTGACTAGGATGGAACTTGGGGAGGTGCGAGGTAGAAGGAAGAAGTGGAAAAGTGCTGAAAAGTGGCTAGCCCCCGTGTCTGCCAACTGGCACCTCGATGATCTTCCGCCCTGATCCGTCTCTGCCACAACTCGCCACGACCGGAGCTTTGGAAAAGAGGCGCCGACAAATGGACATGGAGGGCGTTTCAGTGAGTTTCTGATAGAGCAGCGGCTTGGGGATGGTGAACAAATGATCTGAATAGATAATGTCGACACCGGATTAATAACTCTCCCAGAAGGTTTGCTATTTGGGTGGGATCAGAAAAGTGCAATTCGACTTTAAGGGGGTCAATCAGGAGAGGTCACCAAAACAAAACTCTTCACGAGGAGAGGCCCCAAAGACAAAATTTTCCCAGGGGGAGGGACCCCTTAGACTAAATCTGGTCATGAGGAGAGGCCCCAAAGACAAAATCTCTTCATGAGGAGAGGCCCAACGACAAAATCTTTTCATGAAGAGGGATCACCAAGACTAAATCTCTGCATGAGGAGGGATCCCCAAGACTAAATCTGTTCATGAGGAAGGATGACCAACACTAAAGGCTTTTTTTTTGAGCAGTGAACTGATTAATTTGTTGATTAGTCAATTCATAGACAATGTGCGATTTTGTGTCAATTACTTTGTTTGGGAGCTTGATACAAACTTTTTTGGGGCAGTTTTTTCAAGTAAACTTCATACAGGACTTTCTGGATTTTTTTGGGATTCTGGGTGACTTGGGGTGCTCTGTGGCCAGATCAAGAACAATGAGTTTCTTGTGAAGAGATGGGTCCAGGAAGCATTGAGATGCTTTAGAGGTGGTGGAGAAGGAGAATCCGGAAAAGGATGAGGCGGAAGATATGAAAGAAGAGCCATTGGAAGACACGCAGAATTCCACGAGTGATTGGAGTTTAGGGCTATTGGAGTTGGGATTGGAGTTATAAAGACCCCACATGGAAGGTCAGCAAGGTCACCAAAGCCTGCGGTACCGGGATTGGTCCATTTTGTCTTTGTCTAGACATTTTGTTCAAATGCCAAATCCAGCTGCTGTTTGGGCTCCCCAGTTCCCAGCCCTATGAGTGGTAGGTTGTGCAATAATTGCCGCTCTGGGATTAGGACTGAGGGCAACTCTTGGTCCTTATAGGTGGCAATCTCGGGCGATCTACGACGCGAGTGGGAAGATAGCACTTTGCGTGGGATCGCTGAGAACGCTGTGTTGGCGACCGCGTCGTTGGTTCGGAAGCTTCGCAGGGCGGCGTTGGACCTCAGCACCAAAGGGGATCCTGGGGCAGCTAGTCAAGCAAGCTGTCAAACATCCCGTGACGACCAAGACCAGGAGGAGTGTGAAGCAGTCAAACAAAACGGCTATGGCTCAGGCAGTTGTGAAGAGTTCTAAGGCTCCGGCACCAACCTGAGGTTCACCGCAACTATCAAAACCTGTCACAGGACTCCATTTGGAGAGGATTTATTCCCAAACGTCGCTTCTACCGTTCCTTCACTGGAATGCAAAGTGACCCAGAGAAGGAATTTTGTGAGTGTGGCTTGCACATACACATAGGAATAAATCAAAACACGAAGAAGGGATGTCGTAGTTGGGTGGTTATGAAAATTTGTTGGGGCACCCTTTCAAAGGAGGGCTCTAATATCCCATATGAGACCACTGACCACAGGCAAATCTTGTTGAATTCGCGCCAGGACGTATGGAAAGACCACACGATTGCAGTGCAGCTGCAAAATTAGCAGACCTGCTTGCAAGGTTAAACGCTTGAACGAGTTTTGATTCAGACAATGGACTGTGAAGGAACTGATGCCATTTATTACGCCCACTATTCCTTTTTGTCCTTACCAGCTTTTTCAACCGTGGGGCGTACTTTTTAAACCCTATGCTTCAACTTTTGGGCCAGAAGGTTTTTTGAAAGGCGTTCAGTATTGGAGGCCCAACTAGTTGGGTGAGTTTATTAATCCTGTGTTGACACTAGGGAAGGCTTTGTGACAAGATAGCAGCTTCTAGACTGGAAAGGGAGGTAGTTGTTGGCCGAAATCAAAGAGACGCTGGACTCTCCCTTGCAGGAGCCGCTTTTGACGAAGCTGTTGGTCACGTCGGAAGGCAGGCTTGGGTCAGTGCCCTTGCAGGTGGACTGAATATTCTAAGTTGACATGGAAGTTGAAAAACTGCCTTGGAAGAAAGAGCGCGCTAGTATTACGTGAGGATCAAGTTGAAGGTTCTTTTTGGAGGATGTGTTCGTTTTTTTCACCGCCCACAGATCAATATCAATCACATAGAAACCCTAAAGGTTAAAACTTGCAACACGTTTCCTCTTTTTAGGTCATAACAAAAGGGACCGGAACACAAACAATCCCAATGTTTCTTTTGAACAATGGTTTTAGCCTACCACATGAGAGGTCAGCTTGAACATGACCAATAGCAGGTCATGAGCGCAGCATCTCAATCCTCATCCTGTGGAGGCGAGAAGATCTGCCTAGAATTTCAAGCAATCCATTCCTCCGAATCGCAACCCCTCAAAAGCGGGAAGCCAACACATAAACTGCAACTGCGGCAACGGTTATAGGTTTCTGTGCGAAATATTTTCGATTGGAGGGGGTTATACATTGGGCTGAAAGACAGAAGAGGATGCAAACCGACGGTTTGCATTTTCAGTACCAGCGAGTCCTGCCACTTCACGAGTTTTGATCTACCTCCTAGACCTCCTTGTGGCCTCCACTGGGTGGCGTCGCCTCTTCGTCTTCGAGGTGCTTGGGCCACTTGCAGACCACCCAGGCAGCCAACAAGGCGTTGGAAAACCTGTGGACGCAGCCACTGGGCTTGGTGAAAACGTCAGGGCATCGTTTGTGGGTGGAGGAAAGAGGGAATTGCGAAAGAACCACCGGTGCTAGCAGTCGAAATGCATAGACAGGGGTTGACTCCGCGTTGACTCCATGTTTACAGGGGTTGAGGGATGAAAACTACCAAACATTTTCCACAATGTCTGCAACTGGCAGCTTTCTCAGGTCTTTTCTTTATTTGATGTTCTCTACCTGGCTGAGGTCCCAGACATGGATTCGTTCTGCCCCCAACATTCTGCTGGTCTTTGGACGATGAGCACATACTTTACCTAAAACAGATGACAAGGGGCCTGACGGTTTACAGACAGGCATCATTTCAGGCTATAGGCAAACAGGCAAGCAGATAGGCAAGTAAGTAGGTAGGTAAGTAGAGGCATGGAAGCCGATAGATAGGTAGGTAACCAGGTGAGTGAATTAGGTAAGTGGGTAGGTAGGTCCTAGGTACAAGACTCATAGCCCTTCAACTCCTCATTCAAGGCCCCTTCCGCCCAACCCTTGGACATCGCGCTCGTCTCCAAAAGAATGTCGTCTCGTCTCGTTTCGTCCAGGTTCCCGCAGCTGTTGGCGAGTGAACTCGCCAACCTCGCGTGCCAAACCCTGTGGGAGGTGGGCGATGTCATTTCTGAAGACTGACAGTTGCAGACTTCCGGTGTGTAGCTGGGAAGTGGCCAGACTGCACAGTTCTTGGAGAATCCTCCCAACAGAGGCAGTTTTCGAGGTCTGTGAACAGGTCGCTTGAATGAAAGGTTTTCCTCGACTTCCCAAAATGAACGAGCAGGGATTTGGGCGAAACCAAACAACTTTGAACAATCGACATTCGAGCCCTTCCCCTATGACCCTGGTCCCTGGAACAGATGCTGAAGAGGTTAAGACCTTTGTTTTAGGAAGAGTCTTAGTGAGCACTGCGCGGTGTACAGTTTGACTTGAGGTCAGGGGGTCATGGTCATGGCATCCTTTTTTGGGGGGATTTGTGATGGGTTTGCTTCACTACCCATGTGGGAGGCCTTTGAGAGACTGGCACGCTGCCAGCCAAAGTCCTCGATCGATGGGCATCAAGTGCTAGCAGCAGCCAGGCGGGACTTCGTGAAGGGCATGACTTGCCAGTCGTTCATGGTGTGAGTTTGGCGCTGGATGTTTTCTTTTTCTTTTTTCCTTGCCCTTTCAGCCATAGACTGGTGACAGCGAGACGGAAGTGACCGAAGACGAGTTTGCTACAAAAACCAGCGCGTTTTGAGGCGAATCTTGGAGGGCTTCGAAACAGATGCGCAAGAGGCAGGACGGCGAGAGTGAGACATGTTGCAGCTCTTTGGATGAATGGAAAGGCATGGGTTTTGTACAGGCACCCCTGAAACTAGCATGGAAGTGGAGTTCACCTGTTAAACTCTTCGGAACATGGTCTTCCAAATTGCTTCTACTGTGGAACTAACCCCCACACCCACCATCCCACCATCCCTCACTGCGACTCCCTCTTCGCCGGGTTCATGGCCAGCGACCGCGGGCGAAGAAGCACGTCGACTTCGTCGTTGAAGACGGTAAGCCAAAGGGGATGGGGGATGGAGTCCCTGGTGGCCAAAGCATGGTCTATTTTGAGTTGAAAGTTACAGTGACCAGAAAGTCAATGACTCTCCCATGCCCTTTAATTCACTAGAATGACATGTTGAAACTTTTCTGGCAGCCTCATGGCACATGTTGGTGTCGCTGGTGCTTTCTTGCCTTTCGGTGTGACGTCTGCAACGCAGCACCAGCGAGGTGTGCTTGAGAGCGTTGCATGCCTTTGCTTGTTGCGAGTCAACCTCCACAGCCTGTGACGCTTGGCTCAAAAGGGACTGGCAGGCTTCGGGAGCTGAGCTTCGGATTGCAAGCATGGTTGCGAGCTGATTAGATTCAAGCGGGAGCATGTGGGACAGTTTCAACATCAGTGTGAAGGAAAAGAACCAGCTTCTTCAGTAAATATGATCACACCATGGTTGGTACTGATATTAGGACCAACTGGATTTTCTGATTTGGTAGGAAATCCTCTAAATTTCGCGCAAGTCCCAACGGCTTTTTGATTCATTGACCAGGAGACCTTTTGGTGGGTGTCAAGAAAACCACCCCCTGGATGTGGAGAGGAAGAAACCTTGACTGTTAGTCTTGCCCAATTTTTGCTGCCTTTCGTCTTGTGGGGGAAAGCTCACTGATATCCATGTTCCCTGTTAGACAGGGAGCCAGGGGAGTTCTCCAATCCCTTAGTAGCTTCCTGCTCCGAAGTAGTAGCAATGCCCTTGTTCCGAACGCAGCGATGCACGTGTTCCGAACGTAGCTGCCAAACGGGCCACCGAGCCGCGTATCGACCGAAACAGTCCAGCTGAGCCGAGCCGAGCTCCGGCCGCCACGAGCGGTCATGGCAGCAGACTCGGTTGGTTCGGTGTTTCCTGTTTTGGTACGACCGTGTACGACCGAAGGTCGTGGCTTCTTGGACGTAGGTGTTGCCGTGAACAGGTCGTAACGTGTGTGTTTTTTTCACAAAAGATGTGCAGCTGAAGTCCTACTTTGCATCGAGTCTTCTCAGTTCAACTTGGAGATGTTACTGTTCTTGGTGGCCAAGCTTTGCGATGAGAAAGGCGCCAAAGATTGGGTGGGTGACCAGCGGGCTCGTTTTGGGGTTGGGTGCTGTTCAAAGATGCGGTGTGGATAGCCAGCTGCCCATGCAGGGCGTGCAGATGTATCGTTTTCCTGCAGGCTTGGACCCTTGCAAAGGCAAGGCAACCCTTTGTTGAAGGAGGATGTTGATCCACATTACGGCTTCCTTCTATCACCCTGACGGTTGGAAAAGCTCGGTGGATATGTTTAGCTTTTAGTTTAGCTTAGTTACTAGTATGTTATATAGTTGAGTTGATCGTTTTGCATGCCTGATTTTTCTCGCTCTTGACTATTGGCAGCCTTCCGTGTTTGGTTCAGAAAGGGGAAGGACATCAAGGCCTGCAGTTTATACCTCATTCAAACTTTCATGGATGAGGGGTAAACAAGCCCCAGCAGACCGTTCTGAGCACTTCATGACTTCTCTCAAAGGTCCTCAAAGTATTTTCTGGTGTATACAGGAGCCAAAACTTATGTTGACCAGACATCCACGGTCCACAAACTGGTCTATTTTTCCATCCAACCACCCCTCCCTAGAGCCTCCCAGTCGTGGCAGGCGCCGCTAGCAGCGCCTCCACGCGCACCCTCCTGGGGCTCTTGGCGCATGTGGCTGGCCGAGGGACGTCATCCGTGTGCCAGGAAACGGGAGCGGCCGTGGCGTGAGGGCGGAGAGATGGAGAAAGAAGGGGTGGCGGAGGAGATAGGTATAAGCCTTGGAAAAGGTACAGTAACAGATAATAACCGTAACTGTGTATCTTCCATTTTTTTGGAGGATTTCTGCTCTCTGATTGGGTTGACGTGTTTGGGGCCGTGTTTTGTTGGGTTTCAGCTCCGATTGGTGAACCACTGAACCACCGGTCCGTCGTCCTGGTTCGGACTCCGGTCCTTGGAAGACACATCTGTGTTGGATTCGAGGATTTGATGAGCACACCAATAGCTTCTTAGATTTCAGTTGTGCCTGGGGAAGCCCCCAGTGTCAACCAAAAGCAATTGGATGTTTTCCCCAGTCCCAGCCACTTCTCTATGCGAAAGGATCTCAGTCGCTGGCGCCATATTGGATCAACCATATACATCCATATACTGTATTTGTTTCCGGTTGTGACAGGGTTTCAATCCAGGCAATGAACGAAGATGAAAAAAGGGTCATCGGTCATGATCGGACCGCTTTCGCAGGACCCCTCGGACCCTACACCGGCCCAAGTCACCGATCAACACGCACCGTCAGTGCCTGTTGTTTTCCACATGGAGTCGGAGGACCTTTCAGCCGGGCATTGAAGGAAGATCGGAAAATCCCAGCGACAGCCACAGCTGGGTCTTTTTCTTAGCGACCTGGACCTCATCCATCGGATCACCAGCGTCAGATGGTCAGAAGGGCCAGAGGTTCGAGTTATATAACCAGAAGATTCATGGGAAGGGACAGTCGCAATCGTCCATTTGGATGGTTTCGCTATGTTTTGCTGGGTCTTTCTCAGGGTTTCAGGGGTCCGCCGGGTCCGCCATATCCAGGAGCTGGGCGCTGTCCCTGTGGCTGCCAGGCTTGTATTTTGCAGAGCGCATTTCAAAGATGTTTTGGGGACTTGAGAGGGGAAACCAAGGGACACCCTGAAAAGGAACTCAGAAGAAAAGAAATAGACACAACCTAACACCTTCGGGCCCCATAGTGAGATATCCCTCAGCCAAGGCTGGCTTCTTTGTGCTTTCTCCAGAGCCTTTGGTCGACACTGTCTTTGCCTCCGCTTTGGCACAATCTTTGGCATGGTACAAGGCCATGTCAGTGGTTGATTGATGACATCTTTTCAAGCAGCATAGGCCGCATGGGTTCGCCAGCGTTTTCGCTCAGTGGCTTGCTTGGATCCTCTTTGAGCTTATGAAATCAAGAGCTTGTTCACAAAGAGCTTATGCATCATTTGGGTTCTACGTTGTGTTTTTGTTCTAACCTCGGTCAGGACCAGCTGGAGACTGAGTCGGATTCGTTGGATGTCGAGGCTGGTCTGTAAAGAAGAAAGCCTTATAGTTTTGGAACATTTCGAGGTTTCCTTTGCATTGTTGGGTGTCCAAAGGTTTCCGAGCAGATAGAACCGGCTTTAAACATACAACATAGATGGCAATTCCCTGTCTTTTCGGGGGTCAATATATATACTTGAGGATCGATTGTTGCTCAGTCGTTCCACGTACAGAACAGCAGAACACCTGGGCAGCTCGCGCCAGGTGCATCTCAACTTCGCCATGGGCAGCCTCTTGATGGCCTGGCTGGCACGGGGCGATCCCGTCGCGAAGCTCACTCTGAAAGAGCACTTGGGATCAACACAGGCCGGGTCGACTGCGGTGGGACAAGTTCGGTGGTTCATTGGTGGGTTCTGACTCTGAACATGCCGGGTCGACACTCGGCATGGACCTCAGAGAGAACGTGCAGGGGAAGGTCTGGATGCGGATCAGGTGAGGTGATACTTGGTGTCAAACCCGACTCGATCAGCTCTGCTGGCTAGGCTTTGCTTGACATCTTGCGGACCTTCACTGTGTTCCAGGACAGACAATGCAGGGCTTGTCTACCAGGTGATCACAGGGGTCTGGGTAGTCCCAGATCTGGACTTTCAGCTAAGATGATAGAGCCGGCAAGACATATTCTATAGGAATGTTTTCTTCAACTGGGACGTCGGGTAGGTCGTTGAAGGTACAGAGAAGGCCTTCTTGAGCTTGTAGCTTTCATGTCTAGAAAAGGCCATCCGTCACTAGAGGGACATATCTGTCTAGAGAGGCTTAGAGTTCCTCCGACTGAGAGAAAGCCTTTGACTCACTCTACGGAATTTTTACAATATACAGTAGAATAAAAGACTCAGCGCCACTATGATTGGAAGTGCCAACTGTCAAGCGCGCGACCTCAGCCTAGAAGTGCCAACTTGTTGGAAGGTGTCCCAACCAGCTGTGGTGATAAATCGCCGCGAAGCATTGGCCCCCCAAACCACTCCAAAGCACTCGGCCCCGGATTTTCTCGGTTTCCCGGCAGAGAAGGAGAACTGTGGCTCGCTCACAGATGCCTCTCTGCTTTGCTTGCACGCAGTCATGGAGTTCTTATCTGATTCTGATGGAGCCAAGCACCTGGAGATGACGCCTCCCAAGGTTCGAAAGGCACCTCCCAGGATACTGCAGCCTGAGCCTGAGGCTGTGGCCTCCCAAAAGCCCAAGGCGCAGGTACCAACAGCAGTAAAGAAAGAGCAATATGATGAATTCGATGTGGTGCATGAACGGTCCAAGACCAAGGCACCAGAGATAGACAATGTGCAGAATGAATTCGGTGTAGTGCAGGTGTATCACAGGCGTGCCAAGAAAACATCCCTTGCACTGTGAACACTTAGACTCGGCGCATCAGGACAGAATGTTAGACGCAGTTCGCCAACTCCTACACCGGATGTGGAAGGGCACGGTGCCACCTGTCCGGATGGAAAGGACATGTTGTCTCGCCCGTGGATACAGACTAGTGGAAGTGACACTCCCTGAAAGAATCATAGAAGTGGAAAAAAAAATATATATAGCACCCCCTCAAAGACAATTTTTCTCTACAAACAGGTAGTGAACTCCACTTCCATGTTAATGACTAGCCAAAGTTCGTGTTTTTGGTGGCCGACCTTTGCCGGGCAGCTCGTTTTGATGAGCAGAATTGCTCCCTGCCACTGGCCCTGAATCCTGCTCTTGGGCATGGGCTGATTCGCGCGGCATCAGGGATCAAACATTGGCCTTGCTGCGATCTTTCGTGCAAAGCTGGTTTCATGAGGTGGCAAGATCTTTCTATACAATGATTGCAGCCTTCGGACATAGAGCATCAAACAGAAGTAGCAACATCTCATATAGTTGCATCTGGACATTTGTCCCATTTTCCAATCAACTCAGATGCCTTCCCATGTCTTCCTTCTGGTGATTTGGACCCATCGGCCCAGGGTGAGTGACCAATGGGTGGCGGTCCCCGCCGACCCGATGTTGCACATGTCGATGGTGTGGTTGGTGTATTGGAACACGTCATTTCTTGTGGTTAGGTTTCTTGGTTTTATTTTGCTCAGATTCCAGATCAGGGTATAGAAAGAAAACTATACCTGCTACAAGTTTGCTACTGAACGTAAAACCCTTTGACCATCGAAAAGAAAGAAGGACAGGGCAGTTTTGTTGATGTGTTGCTCAGCTCCAAGACTTGTGCACGACCGCAGTCAGTGGATCTTCCTAGTGTCCCAGCCAATGACATACCAGTCAGTCTAGTCAAAATCACTGGCATTTGGGCACATGAGAACACCAACTATACATCTGTTGTGCCCTGAACAGCTCGTCATTCACCAAGCAAAACAACATCCCAACGAACATACACGTGTTCCAAGCGCCACGCCACGCGGCTTCAATGGCGCAGGGCACTCAGACATGGGAGTCCGCATGGAGTATCTTCTTTCAGGCAGTTGAAAGCCTCAGGATTTGTCCAAGCAAAACTGTTCAGCAAGGTTGCGGTCCATGTATAGTGATCCCCAAACAGATAGAAAGGGTGTCCAATACATTTTTCGTGGGGATCTTACTACATTTTCTATCTATTTGGGTGTCCATGTACCCTGCTTAAGCGGTCGGATGGTTAAAGTGGAACACTTTGTTTTTGGGGTTTTCTACAGAAGACCAGCCACATGTCATCACATGGATGACTTTGCGCTGATCTCGTGGGCCTTGGTCTGGTTTGTTGGGTGAAAGGCCTTGCCGCCGTACATGGCCAGATCCTCTGCTTTCGTAGCAAAAGTCGGAGTTTTACTGGCTTTCCCTCTACTGTCGCACCGATTCTTTCGGATCAGACTCTTTTTTTCCTTCATATTCCATAAATGAACATTTGGGTGTGTAATTTTTGTAATAGGGAGACCTCCCAGGTGTCTTTACCTCCTAGAAGATGGAACATAGACCAGTCTACCCAACCACGCGGGCTTCCGCCTTCTGCGGCCGTCGAGCTACCGCGCGGAGCAGGTCTGCGCCGCTGCCGCGCGAGATCATCAAGTGGCTTCAAGCCTTGGATTTGTCCTTTAGCCTCTCGGGCAGAAATCCTTTTGCCCTGGAGGGTCTCCCACATGGAACCTCTTCAGAGCACTGGGTTAGGACAACCATGGAACACCATCTGAAAACTGTTGCATTTATCAGTTCCTCTTTTTCCGGCTCTTTTGTTTCTACACCGGTCTAACAGATATACCGGATACAGAGACGCCTCGTCGCGCTAGTCTGATGGATTACTTTATATTCTTCGTGCGTGCCCTGTAGACTGGTGAAGATTCTTTTTTCCTCCCCTTTTTCGGAGCATGACCGTCGACCGTTTAGCCTCGTTTTTGGGGGATTTCCGGGGACCAAGAAGACCGATGGGGTATCCGAAGCCGGGGGTCTTCCAGTTTTGGGAAAGACACACAGACACACTTTGAGAAATGACTTGAAACTTGGTTTGGATGAGCTGTGGATGCTGGTGTTTTTTCGTGTAGCTTTGATCCGTCCTTGGTTTTTGTTTGGGGGTGATGTGTTGTCGTTGGGGCGCACTGATGTGTTGTCGTGCCTCGTTTCGTCTCCGCGTCCGTTCCCTCGAGGCATCAAGAACCCAAAGAGGGACTTTAGCAATGGCCACGCCGCCACGTTTGGTGTCGGTGCCCACGTTTGGGTGCGCCAGGAATACATGGATGTTTGCCAGGCATTGTTTTTTACTGTTTTGATGCTCCAGTAAAGGTCACCTGTTCACCAAATGCGGACCCAAGTGTATCCAAGCATCCAAGATAATGAGGAATTTGAGGAACTCCTTAGTCGGCTCCGATGCGCTGGGCAGGAAAGCCTTCAGTCGGTTCAGTCGGCCTTGATTCAAGCCTATTTGGCTTTTCCCTTTTCTCCAGCTTGATACTTGGCCGAAACTCTCGGACCAGTCATTGAGTCATGCGTTGAAGCTACTTTTTCCACTGGAACGAAAGCCAAACCTGAAGAAAAGCGATCCAAGTTGGTTTCAAGGAGAAACTCCGAGGAAGGTGACATGGCATCATGACAGGACCTTCCTCCTACTGGGTCTGTCTCTTGTGCCAATGACCCGCCCCTCACAGCAACGCTTCGGTCACAGCAACGCTTCGGTCACAGCAACGCTTCGGTCACAGTCCCGCCTGTTGACATGACCAGGATACCTGGTGGCGGAGATCTTTTCCAGATACCACCCACAGGAGAGACCTGTAAATGCCGGGGATGTCCGCTGTCGCGCGTGGGTGTTGGGGGACGTCCGCATCATTTTTGATTTGGAGGACCGGTGTCTTTGCGGTGTCTTGGTGTCTGTGCAAGAGAGAGTTTGGTCGTTTCATTTTCATCTTTTAAGGGCTCTGGCTGGGGGGTTCAGTATGCTAGTGCACATCCAAGAGACAATTAGTGCCTGAAGTGCATGCTCCATTCAACGATTGATCTGGGTGTGTATCTGAGTTTGCAAGATTTTGCAAGGCTTGTTCTTGTTCAGACCCATGTGTTTGATCCCTTGGGTCGTTCTGTCTGTCAGCACCGGGGTCGCAGGACGTTGACATCAACACCTTTGAAAATGGCTCGCGGCTGGAAGCGAAGGCCAGGGTGGGGGCGGCCGGTCCTTGAATACCATTCAGAAAGATGCGAAACTGTCCACACTGTCAATAGGGTGCTATGATGTGCTATGTATATAGATGGATCTCACCAGTCAGGTCGTCCACAGAGTCACTCGTCCACTGAGTGCCGCCTGAGTGAATCAACGATCCATTTCTTCTTCGTCAGAGCCGGTCTAGTCCGCTAGTCCGACCGCACGTCGGCGGTCGACGGGACAAGGGGGGGTCCTAGGAAGAGCACCCACAGTGGACCAGGTGCTGTGAGGGTGAATCCCTGCTGACACGAGGTCCCGCTGAACGCGTTTTCAGTCTGGCCTGGAGGAGGGAACAGCTGGTCATACGTGAACACCAAGTGTGGCACACTACTGTAGTGGGAGTGTCGTCAGCAGTGTCTGAAGTCTTAAGGCCGACTTTTCATTTAGGCATAACACCACTCACAAGAACTCTATGTCCGAAATAGATGTTCCCGTGTTTTCATCCGTTTTGGAGCTGTTTGAGCGCTCTGCTGCCCATGAAATGGGCGTTGATAAAACAGCTGACCCAAAGACGTTTTGGGGGAATCAACCATCCGATTTACCCGTAGAAATGATTGTCGTTTGTCGATCCCCAATAGACCGAACTGCATTCTGTGAGAAATCCTTCGCTTCGCTTTTTCCGTTAGGACAAAAACCATCCGAGCCTGGTAATGTCCACCTCCTAATAATAACCCCCCCGTCCCCTTGATCAAGTTCTGAACCTAAACAAAACTAAATCAAGAGACAATCCAGAAAAATCTTGAGATTTGAAGTTGAAATAAAAGGAACATGAAGGAAAGAAAAGGACATAAACAGAAAACGAAATGAAAGGAACATGAAAGGAAAGGAAACTGAAAGGAAAATGAAAGGTTTGGAAGCAGCTGAAACTCACAGTCCAGAACATAATAGCATTTGTGGTCCATTTGCGAAGTCAACATTAGGTGGACAACTGGGAGCAGCTCTACAAGCTTTTCAAAAAGAAGGGCATAGGCGGGGGTGACCGGCTCTATGCGCTTCTGGCGCTGACCAAGGTGACTGGTGCCGGGTCGTGAAGTGTGTTTTTCTCCCTGTGGATTTTCTTGGTGGAAGATGTAGCTAAGGGTTGGATAGGGTTGTCACGGGGCTGAAGCCGATGTTTTGGGTCCGACGTTGAGTGGGGATTTGAGATGGATTTTGGAGATCGCGATGCGTTTGACATTTGCTCTGTGAACTCACTAAGAGTCAAGGATGATTTTGGAGACCTCACGGGGCTGTGGTAATCCATGAGCCCTTTGTAAGCCTCTGTATGCTTAAACCCCCGATCGGCGACGGTAGGAGACCTTTTGGAAGGGTTTGACCGAAAGAGTTTGCACGCTCTGGGAACACGGTGAACCCAGAAAGCTGCCAACATGTAGAGGATCAAGTCTCGGTATCGTCACCCACGTGATCCGTTGGGCAGATGACAGGTCTCGGAGACCTATCAGTCTTTCCCCCACAGAAGAGGGTGACAGAAACGGTTTCCTTTTGTTGAACCGACCGGACACGGTTCCAGCACCATCACGACCTCCCTCATCTGACCAGCTTCTCTGCGGCTTCTCAGCTTCGAGCACCGGTCCTTGCGTTGGCACCTGGCAGAACGACGACCGGTCGCCATTGGGTGGCCTTACACCCGGCGAAGCGTGTGTTCAGCGGCCGTGTAACACACACGGGCTGCACGAACGGTCGAGTCACCCACTGGCGCTTGCAGGTATCACCAAAGCAGAGTTGGTGGCCCCAGCATCA